TGCCCAAGGTTCTCACTCTCAGGGCAGTTACGACTTTGAGGAGATTGGTTGGGCTGTATTGGATCACATAGCCGGCAGGAAATAGAGACAATAGACGGGGTTGACTACGTTCCTGCATGCTACAAATATTCTCCTATGAAGCATTGCACCGCTTGGATATTGGACCTTTCTGCTCTATATCTGAACTGTACCTCAGGTAGCCATCAGGTTCCTCATATTCTTCTCTACTAACTTTACTGACAGTTTTCGTCAGGGAACAACTAAAAATAACACGAAGGTAAAATTGAAATAAAAGTTGAAATATTTAAAAATAAGTGCTTCATGTAGGTGTTTCAATAACTTGTAACTTGATTATTTTGGTATCTGGCTGCATTAAAATTCCCTCTAATATTGTGACGCAAACTGGTGCCTGAAGCTTATTGGCTGAAGTCGTTTACGATGCATAATAGCAAGACTTCATTCAAAGGCGGCCATGGTAATAGTTAACCCAAGATATATCTTACATCGAACCCATTATGGATATAATCACTATGAACTCTCTCATGTCTTTCCAATGGAAAGTTTCCATCATTTTGTCAAACCTCCATCTGAACCGAATGCAACTTCAGGGCATATATACTCTTTGGCAGAAATCGGTTGTAATGTTAATGTCAAAGAATTTTAACACGATCTCTAGAAATTATAATACTCTCTGATATAGATATAGTCTGATATAGGTATAGTAATATCTCAGTATACTGCAGGTATACTGTGCTAATATGTAGAGCTCCGGAAAGTTAAGAACAAACGTCAAGTGAATGACAATAAAAATTTAGAAACACTAATGGTAATGATGAGTTGTTGCCATAGCAACCGCCAGTATTTCATAAAATAAAGTTTTGTCTGGTTTTGCCGAAACTACAGTCATTTGTTCACAATATTTACTACGTGTTAAACGTGTAGTTCCGTAATACTCGTGTTAAAAGTAGTTTTGAATCTAGACTTCGAGAATGATTGATTGAAGAATGAAATCGTGAATGTAGTAATACTGGGTTTGGTTAATTTAGAAACTACATTGAACAAGGTCGAAGTGTTGTAAACCCAAACTTTATTTTCCTTATTCATTCCTTAACTATTGTGTAGAGGGAGTGTATTTAAACAATATTTAATATGAGTACAATATTTTTCGCATATTAATGTTCTCTTTAGAATTCGTCACCTAACCTAAACTCGTAATTCAATGGTAACAATTTATTGCGGTTCAGTACATCGTGCCATTTTTGGTTCGTGGGAACTTACATTGCGGAATAAGAAAGGCTTTTATTGAATTTATTGCGAATGAACAATTGGAGACGGTGTCATTTTAGAATTCGCTAGGTATGTGGTTTGCAAAGGCAACATATGTGAAATCTTTCAAAACAAATAGTACATTTAATGAATGATTTTTCATGTCTTGCTCTATTGATGGGAAGTGTACGTTTTAGATCGGGTTGTTGATGTATTGATCAGTAATAATGTCTTGCAATTATCTGTCAGTATTAGAAATTGCAGAACATCTTGCGAGGTAAACAAATCCCAAGCATTTGTGTCTTTATATTCTGAGGAAAATAGATTAACAATGAGTGAAGTTGAGGTTGATGAAATAAAAAATAATATTCAAAATACTTTGAAAAGCAAATCAAAGGAGTCTGTTAGTGATGAGCAAGGAAGTAAAAGTAAAAGAGTTGTGTTTCAAGAGAAACCAATTATTCTCAATAAAGTATCACCAAAAATTTCTGAACCTACTGCAAAGTCAGAGGGAATAGAAAATGAGAAGAAAGAGAAGAAAGAACGCAACCGTCCTCCAACGAAGGTATATTATTATCAATGTCCTTCTTAGATCAGAAGATAGTGAATTGTAATATTTGATTGCACCATTGCACCGGAATTAATTTATTTGTGTATCTTGTTGTTTTTATAACGCAGGTTGTTGTGCGTCGTTTGCCTCCTACAATGACACTGGAAACATTTGTAGACAATGTATCTCCATTACCAGAGCATGACTACGTATATTTTGTTCGAGCAGATATGAGTTTAGGCACTAATGCCTTCTCTCGAGCATACATAAATTTTATTAACATGGATGATCTTCTTACTTTTTATGAACAGTTTGATAATTATGTATTTATGGATTCAAAGGGTGGGTATCATTTTATGCTTTTAAAAAGAATTTTAATAACTATACTATGTATGACATTGTAAAGTTATTTTCTATTTCAGGTAATGAATATCCTGCTGTGGTGGAGTTTGCACCCTTTCAGAGAGTACCTAAAAAGAGACCTGGGAGGAAAAAAGATCCTAAAGTTGGTACATTAAAAGATGATCCTACGTTTATGACATTTGTTGCTGGTTTAAAAGAGAAGAAAGATACAAGTAGTGTAAAACAAGCAAGTGCTGAACACTTACTTGCTTTGACTACTGAAGGTATGTAAAGGCGTAAATTTGAATCACTTTAAGCTGTGTTCGTGAACATTGAAACAGAACCACAAGAGGAATCTTATCTCCTGAAACATGAACGTTTCCTCCATTGCAGATTTTAATGCATTTTTTTAAATATTTGTATGCAAGGTTATCTCTACAAAAGATGAAGAGGAAAAATATCTCCTTGGTAGTCAACTTGATTCCCTCTGACCTTCAGTTCAGTTATCTTTATGTATGTTAGTACGATCTCCGTCCTGCTCAAATTTAATTTTCCCCTAATGTCAAATGTGTAAACACTGAACACTAGTTTCTTTGCACTAATTACTTTTTCAGAAAAGAAAGAACCAAGTCTGTTCATTGCTAAGTGATAGTGATAGCTGTTAAGTCAATCAATTCTAAACATTGTAAATGAAGAACTAAAATTGCTTGGAACACAGTACAGATGGATTCTCCACCAATAATAATATATTTATATAAGCAATTAATTACTAGCATTCTTATTTTGTTGCT